GTTTAATCTTGCAGCAAAGACCTCATTCCTCAGCCCTGCCTCCGTCCCAACATCTCTGTAGGCTGCATGCTAGGACAGAAAGACACCCCAACCCCACCCCTCAGCCCCCCACCCCAATGCCAGAGCAGCAACCCCGTGTTCAGAAGGAGAGCTGGTGTGTGGACTCTGGAGGCCTGACTGTCACTACAAATACTTGATAAAGTTCCAGAGCCAAGCGTCCGTGAGATGGACGTGAGTCTGTGGGGAATGCCATGGGCTCTAGCTCAGGTGCCTCCCAGGACAAGGCCAGCTCTGCTTCCGCGGGATGCGGCCTGGCCCTGGCCTGTGGGCCTGAGACAAACCTGCCTTGCAGCAGGGTCTGAGGATCAAGGATGTAGCGTGTGAGACAAGGGTGAGGCATGTAGGCTGATGGGGTGGGGGGGGGCGTATGTGTGTTGTTTGTGAGGGGTATGTGGGGTGCAGGTGTGTGCGATGTGTATGTATAGTGTGTTCGTGGGGTGTATGGGATGTAGGTGTGTGTGTGTGTGTGTGTGTGATGTGTTTGTGGTGTGTATGGAGACTGGAGGTGTCATCTCTCAGAAGCTATTCATTTTATTTTTTAAGACAAAGTCTCACTGTGGCCAGAAGCTCAGCAATTACGCAAAGCTGGCAGACCAGTGAGCCCACGGACCAGTGAGCCCACGGACCAGTGAGCCCACGGACCAGTGAGCCCACGGACCACCTGTTTCCAACCTCCCAGTGCTGGGGCTACAGGTGCATGCCACCATGTCCGGTTTTCTCAGACTGCTCACGCCCACCCATCTCATAACCATTTCTGGTGACAGATGGAGAAATCGGGGCACAGCGGATTCTTGGTAAAACGGGCAGCGGCTCTGGCCAACAGCGGCGGAGTTGCAGTTCCTCTTTATGTGTGAGCCATCATGTAGGTGCTGGGAATTGAACTCAGAACCTCTGGGAGAGCAGTGCTTTTACCCGCTGAGCCAACTCTTGATAACAGAATTAACATATGATTCATCCTCTCCTGGTTTTGGTCTCCACCCAAAAGAACCCAAAGCAAAGTCTCTAGGGACTGCCGCCACATCCGTTACATCCGTGCGGACAGTGGTGTTTGTCACAACAGCCGGGAGAGAAGCAATCCAAATCCCACAGGAGGACGAATACACAGCAGGGTTTATCCGTAGGATGGAAGAGTATTCAGCCTTGAAAAGGGCCATTCTGGTTCCTGTTATAACCTGATGAGTGGTGAGGACCAGTCTTGGGACAGATTCTGATAGGAGATCCAGGGAGGGATGCAGTTCACAGTGACAGGTGTCAGGAGTTACGCAGTGGTCTCGAGTGCCGGGTTGGGGGGGGGTGGCGACTGAAGCAAGTATTTCGTGGGGACAGAGTTTCACTTTTTCCAGGTGAACATTCTAGGTGAACCAGTCTCGCACAACCCAATGGCATGTGCACATGGAGCAATTGCGTGTTTTGTTGCCCACATTTTCTCAGGTGAACATTAAAGTCTAGCTACTGTTGAGGGCTGGACAGATGGCTCAGCAGTTAAAGAGCGCTGGCAGAGGACTCAGGTTCAGTTCCAAGAACTCACCTCAATTAGCTCACAAAACACCTCTAACTCCAGCTCCAGGGGACCCAAACACCCTGGTCTTCCATGCGAGTGAATACTCACATACAAACACATACACACACGCACCTCAAAACAATAACAAATCTTAAAAATCATCAAGCAGAGGGGCTTTGACATTGTCTGGCTTAGAGGCCACATTTGGGCTACACCCACTCCTCTCTGGTACTGCCTAGCCGGGTCTCAAATCCAAGCCTAGGCCTCCACGAGCACTGATGCGGTGCATATGGAAACTGTTTCCATGAAAACTGGCTCCTCTCTCCCCCAGGAGCAATGTGGACGGCCTGGCCTTGCTGGTGCGGCACCGTCCTGTTAGCGGGGACACACTTTCCTCTAGAGTCCCAGGGTTTCTTGGTTTACCATGTACCTTCAGTGCCTTTCTCAAGCTCTTTAATCTTGCCCTTCCTAGACATCCCCCCTTCTTCCTTCTTTGCTTTCTTTGCAGTTTAAGATGTGAATGCTTCAGTCACCATGGCCGCCTACAGCCACACTTCCTCACCATCATGGTGAGGAACTCTAATAAATAAACTCTTCTTCTAGCATAGCCTGTCTTCTGAGGCCCTCATCACAGCAACAGAAATGTAACTAATGCAGTGTCCCTTTTTGTTTGTTTGTTTACTTATTTATTTTTGCCTCGTGAATCCTTGTTTTTCTTTGGTACGTGACTCTGTCCTGGTGTTGTGATGTGAACCCACAGGAATGTCCTGTTGTCTGTCCCAATGGGCCAGGATGGAGGGGACTTAGTACTGCCCATGAGCCGTTCGATGAGGAGGGAAGAGGTTTGTCTGTGGTGACGGTGGGGGATTGCTAGGGCAGAAAGGGATGGCGGCTGTTTGGCCAAGGTGAGGCTGGTCATGCCTGGGGCGGTTTATGAATGATTTAGGGACTGACCTGTCATTGGTCTGTGAGTCCTAAAACTGGAGGCGTCAAGAGAGGACTGGACGCATGAACAAGAGGCTCGGGGAGACATGCAGGTATGAGAGAAAGCTGTCTGTGTGCCAGGGTCGTTTATGTGCACGGTTGTCTCCATGTTGGAGCCATTAGCATGTAGGCGGTCATCTGTAGGTGGGTCATTTGCATGCAGGAGCCATCTGCCTGTGGGCTGTCCCCATGTCCTGGGTAGATGAGCTCTCCCGGGAGACAACAGAGTGTGAGGAGGCCAAGCCTGAGCCTCGGGAATTCTTGCAAGGTGGACAGAAGTTGGGACGGAGAAGAGTGGTGGGAGTCGGGGCCGCCCCTAACGGTTCTCGGTGAAGGAGAAGAGAAATGACCCAAAGCCTGGGGTCACAAGCTGAATGCTGCCTCCTGGAAGCCAGCAAGACCACGGATGGCCGTTTATGTCCCAGATGGCTGCAGGGTGGTCTTTAGTGACTTTGCTTGGGTGGGGATGCTGTTGGGGTGTACACTGGAAGCTCCTTCCTGGCGTGAGCGGATGGGGTGGTGTGGGCATTGGTACTGGCTGTTCACTGCGGGACAGGATGCTTCCTCCTGAGCCTCAGGCCTCCATGTGGCTTCACCCTTCCCTGTCCCCTTCATAGGACCGTGTTCCCCACCCCCACCCCACCCCCGCCACAGCTCATGTGGCATGTGCTCATTCACAAATCTACACTTTGGGTTGCTATTGCTGTGACAAAACACCATGGCTGTCTTAGCCCGGGTTTCCGTTGCTGTGAAGAGACACCGTGACCACAGCAACTCTTATAAAGGAAAACATTTAATTGGGTGGGTGGCTTACGGTTGCAGAGGTTTTTTAGTTCACTGTCACCATCATGGCGGGGCATGACTCACGCACAGGCCGCAAACGTGAATGTGATGGTACAGTGTGAATGAAGTCTGTTAAACAGAGGACTCACCCCACCAAAATGTTCTCACTGTCGCTGTAGACATACGTGGTAGTGAAGGTCCGGGCATGCTGTTCGCCGCCTCTGCGTCTCGGTGCCAGCTTGGCCATTGCTGTCCTGTGCTCCCTCCCTCGGGTAGCTTGGGCCCTGGGCTCCTTAATTTTACTTGCCAATGACTAGACTCACCTGGGACACTGGGAAATCGTCTAGATCAGGTTGGCCTGTGGGCCTGTGTGTTGAAAGGCCAAGTCCTCTATGGCTGTTGGCATTCCATAGGCAGTCAGGCCCTGACCACATAGGAATGAGGGAAACGAGCCAGCCGGCAGGCACTGTGGGTACATCCATTTCTCTCTGCTCTTGCATGAGACCAAGCCCTTGCCTTTGAGCCCTGTGCTGTGATGGACTGTAATTGTGACCTGTGAGCCAAACAGACCCTTTCCTCTCTTACGGTGGTGGCGCTTTGGTTTAGGGTGCTTTATCTCAGTAACAGAAATGAAAGGACGCAGGTGGGCGGAGCTGGCAGAGGACAGGAATGGCCAGAGGCTAGGTCCTGCCTTGCCTCCTTACCCTGGGGTTACCTCCTCAGGCTCTTTTGATATCCAGGAGACTGACTTCTCCCAAATGAGCCTTTCCTGTCCTCTCCTGTCAACAAACCCGAGGGACTGGTGGCACCTCTGATGTCTTTGTTGTGTTAGCTAGCCTTTCCCATGTGCTTGCATAGAAGGGTGAGCTCCTTGGGTTAGCTACAAAGAGTGGGCAGGAAAGCCCCGACGTCAGGAGGCATGTGGAGGGTTTCTGGGGAGTTCTCTCTGGCCAGCTCTTGATCCCTTTTGGTTCAGGGTGGGCTGTGAGCAGCATGGTATGGCAGCTCATGGTATGCCTCTCTTCTGGGAGGTCCAGAGCCTTTGTGTAAGCAATTGAACCCTCCTGTGGCATTTACACCACAGGAATTGACAAACCCTGCTGAGAGCCAGTCAGAACACAAGCCCACCATCTTTGATTTTTTTAAAAGCATCCACAGTCATTCTTCTATGCAGACTAGGGGCCGAGAACCACTGTCCTATGCGGTCCCAGGACAGGCCTAGCAAGGTGCATGTTCACCAGTGACAGTTACTGCCATAACATTATCAGCCACTTACGTAAATTGGGTCCCTCACACAGCATGGTCCCATTTTCCACATGGTGAAACTGAGTTTCAGATGATGGGGTATCAGGAATCTTTGACTGCCACAGTGCTACTTAGTGGCCAAGGCTGGATTTGAACCCAGTTCTGAGCTTCTGGTCCTCCAGTCTGGTTGTGGTCAGGGTTCTACTTTCCCCAGCAAATTGGATGTAGAGCCATGCTCTTGTTGTTCAAGACGGCCCTGGGTCTGAGCCTGTGACCATCAGGTCCCCAGTGTGTCTGTCTGGGATGGAAGGTTTTCACAAAGTTTGCCTGCCAAAGGCAGCGTCCACCCTGCTCAGGTCAAATGCATGGGCAGAGATGAACCAGACACTAAACGTTTTCCGTGCTGGTGTGTTCTCTTCCCCTCCAGTGGAACACGACAAGGAATTCTTCCAGCCCCGCTACCACCACCGGGAGTTCCGGTTTGATCTGTCCAAGATCCCCGAGGGGGAAGCCGTGACTGCAGCTGAATTCCGCATCTATAAGGACTACATCCGGGAGCGATTTGACAACGAGACCTTCCAGATCAGGGTCTACCAGGTGCTCCAGGAGCACTCAGGCAGGTAGGTTCTGCCTTGTGCCCCCCCCAGTGGGATGGGCTGAGGGTGGGGTGGGAACAGTCCTGGTGGCTTCCACTATTGGGCCTTAGCACAAATGACCGGCTTAAGGTGTGTGATGTGTATGTTCCTTTAAACTATGACCCTGTACAAACTTGGTCAGGGATACTGGGAGGTCAGGAAGCCTGGGAAGCCTGGGTCTATACCTCTCTGCACACGATTACGTGAATAGTCTAGGTATGGTGGTGTTCAGGGAGCAGGGGGAGGGGGAGGGAGGGCTGGTGCTCTGAGCCCTGGGTGATGTCAGATCACCAATGGAAATGGCCATTTGTAATTAAATGCTAAGGGGGAAAAAAAAAAGAAAGAAAGAAAGAAAAAGAAACGAACCGAAGGAAACAGCCAGAGAACTCTTGGCTGTCCGTGAGTTGCCAGGTCAGGAACCGAAAGTTTGTTTTGAAAGACTTTATTTCTGGAGCCTGGAGAAAGGCAGCGCTCAGAGATGATGGGGGCGGTGCCTCAGATACGTTCCAAAGTTCCCTAACAGCCAAGGTGACCTTTCTTTGCCTCTGGGCTTTTGTATTCTGAGGCTGTGGGACTTTTATTGTCCCCACAGACATCGCTGCACAGAAGTTAGTGGGAGAATCTTCAGCTAGGATGTGAACAGGGACAAGGGAAGCCTGGGCCAGGCTGCTGTTGGGCAGCTCATCTTGACTAAGGAAACAGAACTTGTGTGTGTGTGTTTCTACTGTCTCGAACCCACGTGTCACTTCATCTACACACTAGCACTCTGAAGTAAGGAGTCTGTGAAACGGACGGGATTGAAGTGTCCTTACACCACCACAGAGGGCCAGACAGAGAGAGACTGGGCCCCGGTTTGGGAACTGGAAACCAGGCTTCTGGTCTCCAGCTTTTCTGATAATGACTGAGTGAAAATTGAGTCTGATGGTACTCTGCTACCCAGGAGGAGCAGGATCTCTTAGTGACACCCTGTCTCAAACTGAGAGGTAAAATAGAGGTCTAGGGACGTAGCTGGGTGGTAGAGTGCTTGCCTAGCATGCACGAGGCCCTGGGTTCAGTCCTCAGGAAGGGAAAAAGAATAGCAGTAGGTGGAGAAGACGGCACATGGGATAAAGCTGAAGAGAAGCAGACGGGGCTGTGGGACTTAGGCGTCCTCCCACCACTGAGTCCCCGGCAGCTTCTTCGGCCCCGTTTCTCTTCCCAAGGAGGAGCCCACCATCCTCTCTCTCCCGCTTCTAGGTGGGACCAATTTGCTCAGCACCTCCCCACCCTGAATCTTTCAGACCCATAGTTCCGTGCCTCACCTGTTTGTGGCCTGTGAGTGTGAAGTGACCTCCATTCTGCTCTCTTGGACAGTACTGTGGGGGTGGCCTCAGGGGCAACCGGGACAGGTCCGTTCTCTCAGGCGGCCAGGCTTGGTGGCAATCACCTTTACCCACTGAGCCATCCTGACACCCCACCTTCTGGCCTTGTCTTTATTCGGGTTCTGGGGAATCAAAGCCAGGTCCTGGTGCTTCCAGGCAAGCCCCTCCCTGACGAGCCACCTCCCCTGCCCTGCTGTCTTCTTCTCACTCAGATCATGTCTGCCTGAAGTTCTAGAACTGTGGCTGGGTTACACACATGTGTGCACATGCACACCCACACACGACCTTCACAAATGTCACTGGGCTTCCTTCCCCAGCCACGGAGGAGAGGGCTGGTGCCCATGCACTCACGAAGGCCTCTTACCAAACCGTTTTGATCCTTGTCACTCTGATGGGTGACAGATGGCATCCTGGTGTGGCTTTAATTTATGTTTACAGCCCTCACTGCCCTGCACCAAGCTCTGCCCTGCATGGCTTTCTTGCAAGAGAGAGCAGGAACAGGAAGGAGCGTGGGTGGCTGGGAGCAGGGAGGCAGTCATGCAGATCAGACGCCCAGGTGTCCTGTGGATCGGTCCCCAGGCCCAGCCTCACGAAGAGGACACGGCCCATCTGGAGTTCCAAGCAACCGCTGTTACGTGGGGACTTTGTTACTCCCAGGACTCTGGTGTGTTTGCAATGCTGAAATCGAATCTGGGTTCTCATGTAAGCTGGGCAAGTGCTCCACCACTGAGCCACCCACCCCAGGCCAGCAAGACTCTTAGCCAGGCCATGTGTCTGATCTTTCTGGAAGGCTGATGGCTTAAGGTAAGGCACATACCCAGAGGTTATTTGCCAACAAGTGGGGCATCCACCTGTGTCCAGGACTTGTAGCTGGTCTCCACCTGCCTCTCAGAATGCCTCATTGAGAGGTCCGACTTTTAGAATGTAGTGATATCTAGTGAGTCCTGCCTAGCCTACCTGGGATGGCTGACTGGCCATAGACACACTCTTCTCCCTGAGGGCAGCTAAGGGCCATTTGGTCTGCAGGTAACCTCTGACCCCGAGCCCTCCTGATACCACAGTTTTGCATGGTGTTTTTCCAGGGAAGGGGATGTCTCTGTCCCATGCCTGTGCACACCTGCTTACCCTGCATTGGAAGGTACTAGAGGCCCAGAGAGACCCACAAGCCCAGCCAGGCAGCTTTCATGGACATCAAGGCCATAGCATCGATGAAACAATGGACTCCATGGTTTATTTGTCAGCTACTCTTGTGTGCATACATGTCAGGTGCATACATGTCAGAAATAAATGGGTGTGTGTGTGTGTGTGTGTGTGAAAGACAGACAGAGAGAGAGAGAGAGAGAGAGAGAGAGAGAGAGAGAGAGAGAGAGAGAGAGAGAGAATGAAAGTCAGGGAAAGTTCTGGTTGAGGTTCATCCGAGTTTCCTAGGATGCCACGGTAATGAAGTCCCACAAACGGGTTGGCCCAGAACAGTAGGACTGGATTCCCTTGTTATGATTAGTTTTCTTGCCAACCTGGTCCCACTGCTGCATCAGCTCCAAATAACACACAGAGATATTGTATTCGATATAAAGCTGTTGGCCTGTTACTAGCATTTCTTATTGGCTAGCTCTGTTTTAAGTATTAACCCATTTCTATTAATCTAAGTGTTTCCATGTGGTCTTGGCTTACCGGAGAGAGGGTCCAGACCTTTTACTCCTCTTGGTCTCTACATGTTGAATCTCTTCCTACCTCTCCCTGAATCTTCCTTGTCTCCTAGTCCCGCCTATCTTGCTTTCCTATTGGCCAAGAGGGCTTTATTCATTAACCAGTAAGAAAAACATATTTACAGAATGACATCTCCCATCATTCCCTGGAGGCTTTGACTTCAGAACTAGAGTCAGTGAGGCCTGTCCCCTCTGAAAACTGTGCATGTACGTGTGTGTGGGGGTGGAGTGGGGTGTGCAGGTGTGTTCATGAGTGTGTGCTCACACCTGTGTGTGCTGAGGTAGCTGTCAGTGGCTCAGCCTCTTTGCACGATCCCAATTCTCTTACCTGGGTTCCTGCTGCGTCTCCTATGGCATGAAAAGGTCCATGCCACTTTACTGTGAGTATGTCTCCTGCGTATGTCTACAGAAACACTAGTTCTGAATGAGGATGGTCCCACTGACAGATCTGGAGATTAGGACTGGAATCTTTTTGGGGGGGGTACAGTTCTACTCACAGCAGGATGACATGGAGATGTGAACTCAGGAGCAAGTGGGTGAACAAGCAAATGGCTTGGAGCTGCCGTGGAAGGTGGTGCCATGATGGGTGTCAGTCACCAATGTCCAGCTGAGCTGAGGAGGTTTGAGTGACAGGGCAGAGGAAGAGGGTCTGTGGGAGAACTACGGTGTCATGAGGCAGGATGGAGAGAACCGCCCTTGCTGGGATGGGAAGGACCACGGGGGCCTTGTGTAAAAGATAGCTTTGTGCATCTTCTACCCTCCCACTCCCGAGGTTCGGTGATGGAGCTGCCGTTTGGGGAGGTGATGACGTGTGGGTTGTCATAGTTTACAGAAGGGCACATGGTATCGGAGTCTTCAAATCCCTGGCATGCTGGTGTCATGGGTGGCTCATTGCTGAGGGCCTGCCGCTGGGGGGTGGGGGGGGACGGGACACCTTGCTGAGCAGAGGAGGGGGCTCAGAGCAGGTGGGAGTGTGTGGCCTGGAGGGAGCAGAGTTGATTGACAGCAGGAAGGCGGGAATACTCTTCCCCAGCATCACAGACAGAAGCAACGTGGTCCTTCTCCAGGGGTTCAGAAGCTGTAGCTTTAAGTTTGTCTTGTTTTCTGGGCTGCTCTTGAATTGGGGTGCCTTTCTGGACACACGGGGCTGGCTGATCCAGTTTTGAGAGCTCAAATCTAGTGGTCACGACCTCGGAGCCTCAGTTTCCTCCTCTGACAAGGAGTGGACGTGGGGAAGGTTTCCAGAGACCGTCTTCCGCGGTAAGTGCTCACTGAATGCTTAGTAATGGTCTGTTTTTCGGCTCAGGGTAGGAGAGGTCCACAGCCCAGTGGAGAGCTTCAGGCTTTCAGCAACTTCTGAATACTTGAATACTTTAAACCTAAGACTCTGCCTGGGGATGCAGGCCTGAGCTAGGTAGAGAAGAATGTTCCCTTTGCATGCCTCCATGTGCTTCTCCTGTTGGTACACGCCTCCTATTTGCCCAGTCCTCTACGGGGTCCAGTGCCTGAGCCTCCCACAAGTCCTGCCGCCACACTGGGCTCAGTGCTTAGAGAATGTAGCTCTGTTGCCACCAGCTACCCAGCTGTTCAGGGCCTGGGACATCTGGCTCTCTGGCAGGCTCAGCTAAGCTCCAGGGGCACTCTGGGGTGCTGGGATTAGCCAGCTGTGGGCTGGCCTCAGCATCTCTCCCCGGTGGGAGTCCTTTCCATCAAGTCCTCTTGGTCTCTTGGAGCTGGAGGCCTTCCAAGGCCTATCCTTGCCTCAAGCCCCAGACAGCTGGAAAGGCGGGAGAGGTGTGCCACCCTTGGCCAGCTGTGGGAGAGCCCGGGCTCAGAGGTGGGCCTAGAGGGGGTGGCTTGGTTGTGGAGGCTTTGCTGGATTGATGGGGGAGGATCAGGAGCTTAGCCCTATTTCCTG